CTAGGCTGTGGAAGGAAACTGCATGTAAACTGGTATAAGTGATTGGAAAACAGTTCAAATCTGTAACACAGCAGAAGCTCAGTGCACATAAACTGCTTTCAAAATAGCCAAAACTGGTTTAAGATAACCCTGGATGGATGTAGTATCAGACTTGACTAATTTAGGTTAAATTGGTTTATCAAACTTCTGTCCCAGATCCCTTCCAGATGCAAATTAACTCAGTACCCCAGCATCCCAGGATGCTTTGCACCTCTGCTGCAAACCCTGACCTTGCAGCATGGGTGGGCTAGTCTTGTTCTGAGATGTCTACTCCAGCTGAGCAGGGAGGCATGTTCTAGCACCCCGTCGCTTCTGGCTTGGACCACTGCAGGCTTGTGAGAAAGTATAGTCATTTGATTCAAGTCAATCCACCCAGCTTTTGATTATTCTGGGTGAGCATTCCCATGCACCATACCCATCCAGACAAAAAACAAGTCTGGGGATGAAGTGCAACTAGCTTTCAAGTGATGTCAAATAGTGATTTCAAGTCAGATAGTACAAAAATAAACCAACTAACTTCCATCCGATAGGAACTGAAAATCTAAGCATATCCACAAGTCTGCAGTCTTGACAGGTACAGCATGTACCACAGCACTAATGAGATGGCGCAAAGTTTCCAGGGTATGTGTTTAGGGTTTGGTTTTGTCATTTTTAATAAATTATTTCACATGTTAGAGTAGCAAGTTTTCAGTTATTGATTTTGAAAGATTTCGTGATGGCCACTTGGCTTCCAAGCAATTCTGAATGAGACCAACAGCTATGTGATATTTGCAGCGGGCAAACTTAGTTATGCTAAGGCTTTTAGCCATAGTCCAAGCCTTCCCAGAACCAAGCAACAAAATTGAACAGAGGGCCTTCTGTGGCACTGGGAGATGTGAGTGCTGTGATTGGGCATTAGTTGAGCAAGAAATAACAGTTTCCCTATAAGGAATGTGGCTGGCACAGTGCCAGGGGATTGATGCACCATATAAGGAATGCTTGGCACAGAGCTGAGGGATTGGACAATATGGGATGAGAGAAGTTACAGTAGTGATGGACAAACAAAGGAACACGTGAGTTTTGTGTTGCCATCCTGGGGAGCAACCTCGGAATTGTTGTTTGAACAACATGGGTTCCAGAAACTAGCATCCCACACACCCAGCAGAAGATCTGATGCCAGTACCACTGAAGGTCACTGTTTTAACGCCTAGGGAACCGCTTGCCAAGTAGTATTATAGGGAGGAAACCTGTAATAAAGCTTAGGGATTACTATTAAAGTTCACTTGATACCAAATTGGACAAGGGGCCATGTCAATCCTTCGGGGGGCTCTGGCAAAAAGAATCCTAGTAGCAACAGTATTGACTCCTCATGGCACACTGGATCCAGAGACAAGCTGTGACCACTAAGAAGTCACAAGACTCTCAGCAACCAGAACAAGCCCTGTCCCCGCAGCTTGTGAACACCTCCCTCAGCCTGCTCAACATGAGATTTGAAAAGCACAAATTATGCATGTTAGCAATGAAAATCTCAATAAGCAACACTGGCACAGGAGCAAAATTTAAACAGACTAGGAGACGGTCAAATTCATATTAAATAGGAGCATTCTGGTAATTTTTCTCTTGCACCTGACCAATTGCCTTTTTCAGAACACCCCTACGGAAACAAAAAAAATTCCTGAATGAAGATGTGGCAAGTTCATTTAAGCATTAAAGCCAGGATGTTATGCTTGAAGTTACTTGATTTAAGAGCTGGGATTTTAATTGGGCTTTAATTCCAACATGGGAAGAGTTGTTAAGGGGAAAAAAAGCAGTTAAGCAGGTAATCCTCAAATGGGAGGCAATTTTTGGATACAACAGTGAGAAGAGCAAGGGGACAAAACATGGGACACAGATAAAAGTTTGCTACTGAACCTTTGTAAGCAAAATTATGCATGTACACTCAGATAGAGAACACACCTATGAATACTGTTAGACTTTAAGCCTTCAGATAGTTTATACTAACACTATGTTATCTATATTTCTCAGAGCTTACATATTGTTCATATGACTTCCAAGCCTCTACCCATTTCAGGCTAAAATCTTTTTTCAGGTCATCAGCAAGTTTTTCTAATAATCCTAGAATCTACCGGAAAGAAAATAACTTAATAGTTTGAAGTAATCTCTGTATAATTGTTCTGATTTTTCAACCATTATTCCCACCTCTGACCCTATACAAAAATGAGTGACTGGCTAACAAATGTGTGCAGTTGCTAATTTCTGCAGATACAAAAGTATGTATTTCAGTGGAAAGAATAATGAGTTTGACTGACATAGGACTTAGGGGAAAAAGAACAATGAAAAGCAAGATGACTGCCTGAAGTGCAGAAACTAAAAGCTTTTTCCTTCACAACAAGCACACAATCAAGTAATTGCCGTTTCCACGGAGATACAGAACTAGAGGAATCAGGGAGCTCAATCTGCAGTTAAATGGGTTGGAAACGCTTTCTCAGCTTGAGAAAGAAACAGATAAAAATACACATGAAGCCCAGAGAGAGTTTTTTCTTAGTACTGTACATATTTTCCCACTTCACAAACGATAGGCCAACTCTGTTTAGTTTTCTCCAGCATAGTACCCCTGCAGTTCCAAGGGACCAGTATTTGTTATGAACTCCAGGAACTCAGCCCATTTCCTAGACGGAGTCAGTCAAAAAAAATCAGTCTCCATTCACAGCCAAAAATGTACAGGCAATTAGGAGTTTTGGATCTTTTTAAAAAGAAGGGCTCATTAAAAGGAGCTCTCACCTTAAAAATTCTCCATTGGCACTGTAAACCCCATTATAATCACATGAGTATGCCAGCAATTTGTAATGAAAACCTTGAAATAATTATCTCAGGCTGGCAGAGTGCAGTAAAAGGGTCTATTAAAAAATTGCATATGTGCTCCTCCTCCCCAAAATGCAGGTTTCATATTTATTTTAATAGAAAGCCAGAATTCTTAACTCCCACTTTGGGGAGAGGAAGGCAAATCCTACTGCCCCTCATTAGGTAATTTCTTTTATTAACATTTTATTAGAGGAAAACTAATAGAAAAAATGAGAGATGGCAGTTCCTCATGAACTGGATGCCTTTAAGTCGGCAGGCCCGGATGAGCTCCATCCGAGGGTGCTGAAGGCACTGGCTGACATCATTGCAGAGCCACTGGCGGGAATATTTGAAAGCTCGTGGCACACGGGCCAAGTCCTGGAGGACTGGAAAAGGGCCAACGTGGTCCCCATTTTCAAAAAGGGGAGGAAGGAGGACCCAGGCAACTATAGGCCAGTCAGTCTCATCTCCATCCTTGGCAAAGTCTTTGAAAAAATTATCAAGGCTCACATTTGTGAGAGCCCAGCAGGACAAATTATGCTGAGGGGAAACCAGCACGGGTTCGTGGCAGGCAGATCGTGCCTGACCAATCTAGTTTCTTTTTATGACCAGGTTACGAAACGCCTGGACACAGGAGGAGGGGTGGATGTCGTATACTTAGACTTCAGGAAGGCCTTCGATACGGTATCCCACCCCATACTGGTGAACAAGTTAAGAGGCTGTGACTTGGATGACTACACAGTCCGGTGGGTGGCGAATTGGCTGGAGGGCCGCACCCAGAGAGTCGTGGTGGATGGGTCAGTTTCGACCTGGAAGGGTGTGGGAAGTGGGGTCCCGCAGGGCTCGGTCCTTGGACCGATACTCTTTAATGTCTTCATCAGTGACTTGGACGAGGGAGTGAAATGTACTCTGTCCAAGTTTGCAGATGACACAAAGCTATGGGGAGATGTGGACACGCCGGAGGACAGGGAACAGCTGCAAGCAGATCTGGACAGGTTGGACAAGTGGGCAGAAAACAACAGAATGCAGTTCAACAAGGAGAAATGCAAAGTGCTGCACCTAGGGAGGAAAAATGTCCAGCACACCTACAGCCTAGGGAATGACCTGCTGGGTGGCACGGAAGCAGAAAGGGATCTTGGAGTCCTAGTGGACTCCAAGATGAACATGAGTCGGCAGTGTGACGAAGCCATCAAAAAAGCCAATGGCACTTTATCGTGCATCAGCAGATGCATGACAAATAGGTCCAAGGAGGTGATACTTCCCCTCTATCGGGCGCTGGTCAGACCGCAGTTGGAGTACTGCGTGCAATTCTGGGCGCCGCACTTCAAGAGGGATGCGGATAACCTGGAGAGGGTCCAGAGAAGGGCCACTCGTATGGTTAAGGGCCTACAGACCAAGCCTTACGAGGAGAGACTAGAGAAACTGGATCTATTCAGCCTCCGCAAGAGAAGGTTGAGAGGCGACCTTGTGGCTGCCTATAAGTTCATCACGGGGGCACAGAAGGGAATTGGTGAGTATTTATTCACCAAGGCGCCCCCGGGGGTTACAAGAAATAATGGCCACAAGCTAGCAGAGAGCAGATTTAGATTGGACATTAGGAAGAACTTCTTCACAGTTAGAGTGGCCAGGGTCTGGAACGGGCTCCCAAGGGAGGTGGTGCTCTCCCCTACCCTGGGGGTCTTCAAGAGGAGGTTAGATATGCATCTAGCTGGGGTCATCTAGACCCAGCACCCTTTCCTGCTTATGCAGGGGGTCGGACTCGATGATCTATTGAGGTCCCTTCCGACCCTAACATCTATGAATCTATGAACAAATGCTAAAGGAGTCCCATTTCACTGAGTTTCCAAAGCCAGCGCAAGACTAAATTAATGCCAGAATTGAAATTTAAAGTTAAATGATTTTAATAATGACTTACAGTAGCTCGACCCACACTAGTCAGTTCTACTGCATTGTTATATCTTTTATATCTATCTGTCACACCTCATCCTCATGTGAGGAAGTGATTTGTACCAGCCATAGTTATGTCTCCCTCAAAAGTCAGAACCTAAAAAATCCCAAAAGGGAGAAACAAGACTGAGGAACACAGGCAGACAAGGCAATATGGATGTTCCACAGCTTTGAGAAATAACCAAATCCAGTACCTTTGTGAGTGCTGTAGAGGGCTGCAAACGTCACCATGAAGAACGTGGTAGAATATTTGCCAGCATTAACCAGATGAGGAAAGGCCCGTTTGGTGTCACGATAACGGCGCAGGCACTGGATGAATCGCAACCAAGCAGGGATACACTGGACAACTGCTCGCACTCCGTAGGAGTAGCTGTTACAAATCTTGCGCTCTGCAAGAGGAAAGAGATTTCAATTCATGTGGAAAAAAAAAATTAAAATATCCTCTTTGCCTCATTAAGTAGCCTTAGGTGCTGAAATGCAATTTTATTTCACCTTGCTTGAGCCCCCAAAATACTGTTAACAGGTCTATTTTTTGTAATATGCCATAGTCTTAGCCTTAATGCTAGGTCTCAGAAAACAGCAAGGAAGAGGATGAGGACTCATCCACCTTTTGCATTAATATATATTTGAGCACTTAAGTGGGGTGGACCATGATCACATTTAGGTGCCTAAGACTATGGAGGTAGTATAGGATCTGGCCCCAAATGTTCCACCCTCTAATGACATGACAGCTTTCCTCTAATGACTTGACAGCTCAATGCAAGATTTTAAGGAGATAAGCATCACCCTTCAGTCAGAAAAAAAATTTCCAATCTTTCTTTTTTTTTTTTTTAACAAACTTCTAAAATTAGCATAAGCAGGAGATAAAAATGTAAGTATTTGTTCTCTAACGTTGTATATTGCCAGCACGCAATCACCCATGTTACCAATTCTCCTGTTTGCGTGGTTATTTCCATATAGAAACAAGGGGAAAGGAAGGAATGACAAGAGAGCCTCGTCTACACTGAATTCCATGAACATATAGGAGACTGCCCTGAAACTTAGCAGGTGTACTCAAGGGAAGGTACAGAGTATATGAAACATCCTTTTGATCACTTAAAAAAGGCTGGTTTTAAGTTCAGTGTATCCCTTTAAATATAGCCAAAGAATCTGAGTTTGTGCCTCCAAAAGAAAACGTACCATCATTTAGCAGAAAATTCAGGAGCAACATATACATTTCTAGGTATATTACATTCTTGAACCTGTTTTTAACTAGCCATTAAGGACCTGCTTTTCAATAAACACACTTGAAAAAAAATCAGGTCATCAATATGCAAAAACTATTTATTTTCTCAACCCAGTGGAAACAGATCTGTTAGTCAATATTTCTCCTACAGGCACTGCACCCTTATTCTAGTTTTCACTTTGATGGAATATATAATCTACACATTTGCTTGTTTTATTAATAGATTTTATTTATTTAAAGTCCAGCCTATAGGCAAGAGTTTTAGACTGGGACCCCAACATGGCTGAATGAAAAGTTTTGAAATACGCCAGAATGAAGAAATTAAGCTAATGCCAATGCAGACCGAAATCATGTTGCAAATTTTCTCAATAAATGTTAAAGAACTCACTGATAAAACTGTGCGTCAGTAGTTGCTGGTTAAAAATAAAATAGTGCACACTGTCTCCAGGCACAAAGTTAGCATTTTGCCACCAGGAGTACCAGTTAGAATTCAGACAATACTTCTTGTACCCCAGCTGGAAATAATATGGATGCAGGCTGTGTACTGCCCTTCGCCCTTCTCCCTCTCTCCCACCTCAACTCTTCTAGCTGAAAAAGGAGCCCTAACTCAGCTTCAGGAAGTATGACAAACCCTCGAAAAATACTGATAAGCCAAGAGGGAACTCACAGGGGTATATAAGGAATAAAGAAGACCCTCAGGGTAACTGCCAGGGAAAAAAATTCCTTATCAGAACATTCTCCCTCTTCATTCTGCAGTCCTGGTGGACCACTTTATAGGACTCAGTTTAGCACTAAGCAACAGCTACAGGCTAAGTATAATTGAACAGTTGGGAGCCTGTGTGGAAAAAAAACAAAACGAAACAAAACAAAAACTTACTAGTGCCTTGAAAATTGCTTCTTCTTTCCATTTGAGAAAACAAACTTCAAAATCTTTTGGTAAATACACAAAGGTCACACCTGTCTTAGCGTCAGGCTGTAACTGTCAGATTGGTAAACTGGGGTATTTCTAGAAGGTTTTAAGGGATAGAAAAATTACATTTCTAGGACTGTGTTTAGAAGAAACACCAATTACACTGAAATAATTTATGTTATTGGTAATTTTTTTCTGAAAGAGATCAAGACCTGTGAGAGTTCTCGGTTTGCATCCTCAAGATTTTCCAAGCTATTTATACAGTGAGATCATACATACAACCATCTCATCTTCTCCCTGATCACTACTATACCTGTGACAGCCACAAGTCCAGCATTGTTATTCCACTGCAGTTCAAAGCTGTAGAAACAGATCATGTATTCGAGGTCCATAAGTATCACAGCTAGGCTGTTGAGCTGATCGGCCAGCCAGAAATCTGCAAAGCCTACCTTATGGAAGGGAGCTGTGAATACCCGGAACTGAAAAGAAAGAAAGGGGAAAAAAAGAACAGCATTTACATGAAAAATACCAGGAAAACAAATCAACAAGGTACTGCAAGGGATGAGACCAGGCTGAATAAACGTGAAATACTGCTCTATCTCCCAGAACAATCGTTGTTCCATTACTTCTTATGTCAGTGGAGAAAAAAGTCTCATCCCTTACAAGAGCCAAATGTCCTTTTTCAGCCATCCATCTCTTCTCTTGAGTTCAGTTATCCACCCTTTCCTCCCTGGCTGAGGACTTCTGAATTGCTTAAGACTAAGCCAAGATGACTAATGTTTGCAGATGACACAAAGCTATGGGAAGAAGTGGACATGCCGGAGGGCAGGGAACAGCTACAAGCAGACCTGGACAGGTTGGACAAGTGGGCACAAAACAACAGAATGCAGTTCAACAAGGAGAAATGCAAAGTGCTGCACCCAGGGAGGAAAAATGTCCAGCACACCTACTGCCTAGGAAATGACCTGCTGGGTGGCACGGAAGTGGAAAGGGATCTTGGAGTCCTAGTGGACTCCAAGATGAACATAAGTCGGCAGTGTGACGAAGCCATCAGAAAAGCCAATGGCACTTTATCGTGCATCAGCAGATGCATGATGAATAGGTTCAAGGAGGTGATACTTCCCCTCTATCGGGCACTGGTCAGACCGCAGTTGGAGAACTGCGTGCAATTCTGGGCGCCGCACTTCAAGAGGGATGCGGATAACCTGGAGAGAGTCCAGAGAAGGGCCACTCGTGTGGTTAAGGGCTTGCAGACCAAGCCCTATGAGGAGAGACTAGAGAACCTGGACCTTTTCAGCCTCCGCAAGATAAGGTTGAGAGGCGACCTTGTGGCTGCCTATAAGTTCATCACAGGGACACAGAAGGGAATTGGTGAGGATTTATTCACCAAGGCGCCCCCAGGGGTTACAAGAAATAATGGCCACAAGCTAGCAGAGAGCATAGCTGGAGTCATCTAGACCCAGAACTCTTTCCTGCCTATGCAGGGGGTCGGACTCGATGGTCTATTAAGGTCCCTTCCGACCCTAACATCTATGAATCTATGAAAGATCTTCCAAGTAAATGCTCAAATCCTACTGCAAATTTAGAGTGTTTTACATAACCAGTCTTTCCCACTCCTTTTGCTTCTTCTCAGGAAGTTGCCTGAACTTCCTCCCATGCTTTTCTTCCATCCCTTCCCTACCTGCTATCTAAAATTCTGAACCAACACCTTGTTCACTAATTTGATCTTTATCCAATTTAACACACCATATAACACCTCAGAGCAGATGTCTCTTCAACTGTGGGCCAACAATGGTAAGGGTTAAGGAGCAGGGGAAACACTATAACTCAGACTCCCTTCTGAATGCCAGCCCATTTTTCCTCCCAGCCACAACAGCACTTAGACTCCTTTTAAGCCAGGCAGTTTTCATGCTTCATTACTTTTGATTACAATTTGTCCTGTATGGTTAGTTATAGTAACCAACATCCAATATCTCAAAATGATAGCACCAGCACTGTCCTGTAGTTCAGAAATTTATGAAGCTCTGCATTAATGAAAATATTGAAGAAAGCCAATCTTAATAGTATACTCCTCTAAAGATGAATGCTGAAGGGGTAGAAGTCTGAAGAGAAAATAGTTACAGGCATCAGGCATGTACATAAGTTCCTCTGTTAACTCAAGGCACCTCTCATTAGACTCAAGGCAAACTTCAGAGAATGCCAGCTCTGTTTTCGCTTATTTTTTGATTATGGAAAAAATAAAAGAGTATTTTTTTCTGTTGAAACAGAATGCAGAGGGCATTTAGATACATACCTTTTTGTGCTGCAATGCCGGAGATCCAGCATGTCGCAGCAGACTCAAATGATCAAGTCTGTTCTGCATGCAAGCTGATGCGTGCCTGGCGCTGCCTCACATGCATTTGTATAAACGGCAAAATGCGGTAGCCACCACCATTTTCTCAGTGCTGACACGCATTTTGCCATTTATACAAATGCACGTGATGCAGTGCTGGTTGCTGCATCACATGCACGTCTAAAAATGCCCCAAAAGACCCCAGTAGGTCAGAATATTTTTAACACAATTGATTCCTATTTGAAATCTCTGGGTTTACCTTGTGAAGAAGCATGTTTGGCACACCGAACACTGCTACCATTGTGTAGACCCTGTAGATCCTTGAAAGGATCTCAAAGCACCCCAGGGTACTATGGCATCCTAGTTGAGAATTGGTTTGTTTACCTGAAGTGGGCCTGAGCAGTTCTACTTAATAGGTGACTACAGGACAGCTCTACGAAAACTGGAATTCATTATGAAGGCCTACACTGAGGAAATGGTGAGTAGTGAATGTGGGCTGAGCTTCATATTGCTGCTGTACACCTCTTAAATATGGCACTATTACACAGAAGCAGCAGAATCTATTGAACCCAAAACAGGCTACAGACAGAAGTTACACAAACTGGTTTAAGTGATCAGAAACCAGCTTAATCCTGTAACAGAACAGAAATTCAGTGCACTTAAACTGCTTTTAAAATGGCTGAAACTGGTTTAAGATAAACCTGGTTGGATGTAGTAGCAGACTTAACTAATTCAGGTCAAACTGGTTTATGCAATTTCTGTCCTGGACCTCCTCCTGGTTCAAGTTAACTCACAGTCCCCCAGCATCCCAGGATGCTTTGCAGCCTTGAGTTGTGCTGTCTGTTCTACTCCTCTGCTCCCTAGCTGGAGCACTATCAATGCTCAGGCTGGCTGAGAAGAGGGTGGTGGGGGAGGAACCTGGCACCGGAAACCAGCCAGGGTCTGCCTGACAAAGGGACGCAACCCCTCCCAGGCTTTTCCTCTGCCAAGCGGAGAGTATGTGTGTGGTCAGGCCCCAGCCCGGCACCAACCCCAGCTGGGATCTGGGGGGTGGGAGGAAAGCCCTCAGGCTGCTGGGCTGGGTTGGGCTGAGGCCTGGCTACGCCCCCTGCTCTTCACTTGGGCAGGAAGCGCAGGGGGGAAAAATGTCTAAGGGTTTTCCTTCCACCCTCCGCCCCCACCAGGCAGACCCTAACTGGGGCCTGGTGCAGGCAAGGGAGGGGGTTTAAACCCCCATCCTCCCCTCTGCCTCATTGTGCCAGGCTGGACTGGGGCCTGGCCAAGCCCCCTGCTCTATGCTTGGGCGGGAAGCAGGGAGGAAAGCCTCTGAGGGCTTCCCCTCCACCCCATGCCACAGCCAGGCAGACCACGGTTAGGGTTGCTGCAGGCCAGGGAGGGCTTCCCTTCCAGCTTCCCTTCCTTCCCTTCGGCAGTGACCAGCAAGCTGGGAGGTGTGCTCTTACACCTGCCAGCTTTTGGTTTCAGGCATGTGGCTGCATTTCCAGAACCAAAAGTAAATGTCTGTTCACTTGCTTATAGGTTTAATCTATGCACCTTAGACTAACCTGCAAATATTGAATCAATTCAGCCTCGGCCTTTTGACTGGCTGTACTTAAGTCAAAAGGACTGGCCAAGGAAATTTTTCCCGACTAACTCTTAAGGCCAGGGACAGAAATTACACATAAACCGGTATAAGTGATCAGAAACCAGTTCAAATCTGTAACAAAACAGAAGTTCACAGCAGATGAATGGCTTTCAAAATGGCTGAAACTGGTTTAAAATAAGCCAGGATAGATGTAGTATCAGACTAAACTGGTCTGGGTTTAATCGGTTTATTGAACTTCTGTCCCAGATCCCCTCCAATTCAAGTCAACTCACGGGATGCTTTTCACCTCCCCCATAAACCTCTCACTCACAGGGTGGGTAGGTTAGCCTTGGCTCAAGCTGTCTGCTCCGGCCAAGCAAGGAGGCATGCTCTAGCGCCCCTTGGCTTTTGGCCTGCATTTGGCAGGCATGTGGCTGCATTTCTGGAATCAAAAGCAAATGTCTGTCCACTTGCTTATTGGTTCAACCTACTCAGTTTACTAATCTGTGAAGACTGAATCACAGTGCCTTTCTGACTATCTGTACTTAACCTAAATTCTTATGCAGCCACATACACTTGATAATCTCTAGATGGATGCAGATTGCCTCTTCACTTTGTCAGCAAATGCCACCAGTAGAAAAGAATCTTTCAGAAATACGTCAGAACCCATTAATTAGATGCCTATAGCACAGAGGAGAATTGGTATAGCCCAGAGGAGAAATGACATAGCACAGAGGAAAATTCCATGGGTTCGATACATATGGCATAGTTTTGCTGTCAATCATTCTGGTGGCAGTAACTAAGTCATGGAGGAAAATTCCCTTATGCCTGAACCCAGTAACCAAATGCTACAATAGTGGAAAATTACAGTTTAGAAAAAAGTTCCCGCCACTCATATGCAAATTCACATTATTATTGGCCAGTTTTAAATTATTCCTACGTGGTGACCAGCAATTGGCTTGCTAGCCATATAAGAGGTTGAAGCAGTTTCTGCCCAAGTTGGAGAACTCCACACACACCTCGTGGAGAACTCTGAGTACACTGTGGAGCCTAGCAAACTCCACGTGTGTCTTAGAGCGAACTTAGCGGCCTGATCAACCACTAAGGACTCCCCGTCACCGACCCAAGGGGGCCTAGCACACCCCCACCCAAGACGTAAGACGACTGCCGGCCTGAACACCCCGAACACATTTGCAGACTGACCAACATCTTTGTAATTTCTGCCCGACCCAAGTTTGTAACCGTAACCGAAGCAAGCATCTGACCTGCGCTGTACGAGCAGTGCAAGTAAACAACCTTTTGTTTAACCAAAACGCTTGAGTACCTGATTCCACCCCAAGCGTCACAAGTACCCGCCCACCGATTAGGGCTCCTAAAGCCCCGAACCCCGCGCCGCGGCTCTCGGCGGCGACAAAATATACCTCCACTATCCAAATAAAATGCCATTCGTGCACTATATCAAGAATGCAGAACTTCACTTCATCTCCAGCAGAGTGAAGCTTGGTAATGTAAACCTATTTACTGTATGAGGCATATGCACACTAAGAACAGAATCTGCAAGG